ACAGGCTATTGCCGCCGTCTTCTCACGCAGATATTGGCGGGGCTGACCATCAGCCGACGTCGTGGCGTCCTTCTTGAGTCCCTTGACTCCCGGAGCCTCTCGCTGGGATGCCGCTCCGTCCGCCGCACACGACGCAACAGGCTATTGTCTCCGTCTTCTCACTCAGATGTTGGCGGGGCTCATCATCAGCTGACCTCGTGGCGTTCTTCTCGCAACCCGTCACAGAAAGTCAGCGGTATCCCGTCGACTGCGCCAGTCAACGTCCTTTCGGCCTCGTGTGGACGTCCTAGTCCGGATGGTGACGACCGATTACGGTGCTCGCCCGATGGCAGCCCCCGGGAAGTTGATAAAAAAACTAAAAGTAGTTCAATCCCGCTAGACACAGGCGACTTTGATTGGCTTTACAGTGGCCAGTGTGGCCACCTTTATTATAAAACAAAACCACTCAACAGGAGTTAAAATCACAAAATTAAACCCGATACTTTTGTTCCCAGTCTCTCAAAATTGATTCGAAGCCAAGTCCCCCAAAATCCTCTTGGCAGTCCTTTTGTAGGATCGTAGGGGCCTCCTTCCCCCTCAGAGACAGACCAATTCCTTCAAATTTCACAACTCCCACCTGGTAGACTGTTTTCCAATGGTCGGCGAGCTGTCAGCCTGGCGCTCCAACCGCCAAATTCAAATTCCTTCTAGAGTCATCCCCTGCATTTTTCGGAGTCTGGGTGACGCCAACAGCTAAATTATTACATGGGGCAAAAAGCGACAATTTTACACTAAGCGGCGAAACCCTCTGTTTAGAAAAAGACTAAATTGTAGCGGTAAATTTAGCGGGGAAACTAAATTCACGTATAGGTCACATGACATCAACTTGACCACTTGGGGTATTAGTTACGTTAAGTTAACCATATGACGGCAATTTCCCCGCTAAATTTAACAAAAAAAAACGCACGGCCGGACGGACGGACAAACATCTGGCCATTTGCGGGTTGGAGGTTTCGTTAAAAATTAAAGAAAGCCTTATCTTCTAGAAAGTAGTGTAAGCCCTTGATGGCTACGCACACACTAAATAGCTCTCTTCCAATACACATTCTTTCCTATCGTAAAATTATGTGCCACAATTTATAATTTAAAATGAAAATCCCGGGGTTTATAAGTCATACTTTGGGGCTGATTGTCTGTATTATGCACACAAGTCAGAAGTTGGCTTTCTTCAATGCGATACATGTGTACGACTGATGATTTGAAAGTATTAAGCCTACATAGGAATGAGTTGGCGCATTAGAATAAAACGTCGCTTGTTTCTAGCAAAACCGTCTGGCAGCACCTTCTTCCAGAAATTATTTGGCCATCATTCCGAGAAAGGTCTCGGGAAGCTTGAAAGTGACATAAATTGTTTCCAGCGAATGCGCCCTTTTACTCTGTCCGCGCTTTCTTGCAGGAGAATCATGAAAGGGGAAGCCCCGCCCACCATTGTCTCCAGACTATACTCCGTTTCAAACATAGCGTGCAACGTAGTCAAAGCTAGCGCGCCGGTTTGCACAGCCGACCGCGGCTACGTTCGCTCCACAAAATAGTGCGGCCCCTGAAAAAAAAAAAAAAAGTCGAAAAGTGTACGTCTTTGTAGCTAGTAACTAATAGTGGCGTTATGATTTCGAGGGAACACCATTCTTTTTCAATAAAAAGGAACAGATAATGTAAACGACTCCAAATTGTTTTCCGTTTTCGTTCGTGCGGCACTCGCACTCGCTTCGGGTTTTCAGGTTGTGCGGCTGCTCCTGCCTCGCCGGTTTCGAGAAGATGGCGTCTTACGGGGGTATGCTTTCTTTTCCTGCTCGGATATTTTCGAAGATTCGTTGTGTGAAGATCTCGCAAAAGTGCAAGAAGGTGATCGCCAACGTGTACGCGAGTTCAAGAACGTGTTTCCCGGAGACGTCGGTCTGTGAGGTCCTGGAGACGGTCAGTAACGACACCGGAGTGTCTGGCAAGGTGGCGTCCCCGAAGCGAAGACCTCGCAACGTGAAAGTTCCGAGCACGCGGACAGTGTTGTGAACTGCCACCAGTTATTTCTGGTGTTGAAATCGGCCTTATGGCTTCAAAGTGAAACAAGCCTCAAGAAGGAACTGTGTCGGTGATGAATCGTGCCTACGGCTCCGTCTGCTTGCGGGACCTTACAGCAGGCGGTGCCCGTGATTGCATTCCGAAGCGTCTGGGTTCTTCTGCCTGCGGGACCGTAACCTTGGTCGGCTCCGTCTGCCTGAAACATCTTAACCTTGGTCGGCTAAGTAAACGACGCACATGCCCGTGCCTGTATTCCGAGGCCCCTGCTTTCCTCGAAAAGGAAACAACATTCGATCCTGATCTCGAGTGCCGTGTGTTGTGTACGCGTCTATTGTGAATCATTCCCGGTTCATGGGGGCGCCGGCACCAGAGCACCGAGATACTGCCGTCTGGATGACTTCTTCCATACACCGGCGAGTATTCCGATTCTGAAGGAAACTTCCATGAAGTCACATCACGTGAGGGAATGCCAAGCCGTCTGACCAATGGCAGTGCGGTCCCCTAATCACAGTATTCGTGATATAAAGGACCGTCCACCACACTCTCAAGGTACTCTCTGATTTTCACGCTACCATGTAAATAAACGGCTTTAAATAGAGACGCCCTGGATCTCGACCGTTCTTCCGTTTTGACGAGGCCGGCGCAAGTTCAAGCGGAACACCAGCCCCTAGTATACCTTCTTATCAATAAAAATCGAAAAAAAAAAAAAGAGGAATTGAAATATGCACTTGCACAAAAAATAGGTCGAGGAAGAAAAAAAAAAAAAACCTTTGCGCCCTAAGTGGATTCGAACCATTGCCACCGAGACGTCGGCATCGCCAGAGCTGCGCCTTATACCGCTCGTCCACGAAATCTCGCGGAGTAACACATTTTTTTGTGTTTTTTCATGCGCACTACTTCAGTAGCTTTCCCAGCGTTGCACGCGATGTTTGAAACGGAGTATAGGTACTGTCAGACGACATCTGAAGGAATGGCATCATAGCGATGAGACTGCCATGGGCTCTGAGATTGAGTTGTGTGAGAAGTAAACCAAAGATTGTTTTTGTTGTTGTTGATGTTGCTTAGCAGCCCTGACGCATCGCTTAAATTAGTGCGTCCTACTCAGGGGAACAACCTAGACCAGCCCTTGAGTTCCATTGGCCTTGAGCAACTGCATCACATGAAGGACCGTTACTTCTCAACGTCCTTAGTATTCAACCAAATCAACTTAGACTGCGATGCTGTCTTAAAAGTGTTGTGTGACCTTGAATATCTCAAAAGCATACATAATTGTTTTACGCCGCTACGTCGTTTAATTTCAGTTCTTATTTAGCACCTTGCATACCTTATTATAATATATTGACCATCCTTAAATCTCAAAGAACAAAATCGCTATCAATAGTTCAGTGCTTTATAATAAAAATTAATATTCTTATATAATTATATTTTATCCACCTTCATTACACTAAATTTCTTCATAATTATACACATTTATAATATCTAAATTATACTATATTTATTTATATAAATTTATAAAAGAAAAAGAAAACGATCGCTTACTCTTAAACCTTAGAAAACAAAATTCCTATCAACGGTTCGGTGTTTTATTGCTCGCTAAAAGTGAAGAAGCCTCGTGCCCTTCTAAATAAAAAAAACAAAAAAACCTCGCGTCGTTCTCCAAGCATACGAACTCAAAGCTTTCTTGTGGGAGTTGTATCTATATTAACTTTAAATAACATATATTACTTTCAGTGGCTCAAACACACGACAGAGTTAAAATATGATAGATTCACTTTCTTGTCTCTCTCCAATATAGATGGTAGCGAAATAGAGAAATGCTTACCAGTAAGGGGTTTATATATGTCCAGAAAAATGCTTACGGCTAAGTGGTTTACATACATTTAGATTTTATTATCGACATATTCATTGCGTAAAACCAGCGATCACGCTTTGGTGCTGCCTTGAGTGCGATTTTTTTTTATTGAATTGTATTCATTGTATTATCATTTTGCATCTGCTTTCTCCAGCTCGTTCTCGAGCAGGTGCGCGCGTTGATATATTTGTATTACTGTGAGGCAACGTGTTTCAGACACAATAAGAAAATATATAATCCTATATATTTTATTACGGAATGCTTTCGCATGATATCTTTTATGCTGAATAAAAGGTTAAAACGCGCGAACAAACGGGGACAATGGAGAAACACGGATGACAGGACAGGCGCTTCCTGTCGTCTGTGTTTCTTCATTGTCCCCGTGTGTTCGTGATTTTTAACATTTTATTCAGAAATGGACCAACTAGCCCAAACCCAAGTTTTAATGCAACATATATTTTATATAGAACATTGATGAATTCTGTGAATACAACAAAATTATATACAATTGACAGCCTCTAAGCTTCGAAAAGTAGTGTTCGAACGATGATTGGCTTGTTTGTGTCGAAAACCGGCAGCAGTTGCACTGTTTTGGCACAAAACATACGAACTTGCAAAGTGCACTAAAAGGTCAAACATGCAAGTTGAAATCTTAAAAACGAGAATAAAATATATATCAAATAACCGAGGACACAATTTATTTGGTACAAGATAAAGTGCAGGATACTTTTCCCTTTCTTTTAGTTTTGGAGCGTCGCTGAAGTGCCGTAAGCGGTTTCACCAGCTAGTTACTAGAAACGCTAAAAATTATAATTCTTAAAAAAAATATATACCAATCTGGTAAGAATACACTTTCAATTAGCTTAATTTCAACACTGCGACTTCGTTGTATTGGCAGGTTTAAACGCTAATACTCTATATCAGGTACTCATATTTGACTCAGAGGCAGGTTTAAACTCACGGTTTAGTTATACTACGCGCAATCACTTGCGACACGCACTCTTCAGATAGGACATTTATAGGAAAGTACATCCAGGAACTGCACAAGTTGTACCATGAAGAAGACAGCTTTGCTTGTTTCGAGATTCCCTTTGAGAAAAAATCATGGAGCCATTAGATTAGAAAACGCTGCGAGACCGCATGAAATTATGACTTGAAGTCGAGCCTTCCGCTGATGAAGTTTCCGAGGGCGCACTCGTCGTCTGAGCTAAAGTACTCTTCAGCCAGTTGGCAAAAGTAGTCGTAGTCCAGTTTCTTGGTTTCGTTCTGCATGAAAGGAAGCACCAACGGCAAATTGCACAGCTCCCAAACACTTTTATAAAAAAAATTTAAAACGTTTTTGAGTTACAGTGCCTTTCCTCAAATTTGTTTTCATGTCGCTACTTGGAAATCGTAAAGTTCTTAATGAGGGGTTTCCAAACATTTTGGCCAAAAGACCGGATTAGCTATTTGTCGCGGTGTTGAGGGGCCGGAGAAAAAACAGTAATTCTAAGCAAGAACTGCAAAATAAAAAACCTAGATAAGCATTGAAACACCAATTAATATTAGAGTAAGTATTAAAAACCCCGGGGTGGATGAACACCTAGAGTTCACAATGTAATTTAATCTTCAGATAATTATGACATTACACAATCCATGGCAACAAGAAAACTCACCAGGCATAAATCAAAGCGTGTGGGAACTCTAGCACTTTTGCGCACTGCAGAAGACTAATAAAAATTATAAAACTAATGCTGACAAAAATTATTGAGACAGAAGACACTAAGCGCAATGCATATGACAACTCCGTAGAATTTTAGCCTAGTTACACTGACATCAAGCACGGGAATAAGAATGGTAATACTAGCGATGACAATATTCAATTAATAATATGGTGAGAGGACCCGTGTTTTAAAGTTTTTCTTTCTGGTATATTAATTTGTGCATCTGGAGCGCGTCCCGGCGTCGTATTTTTACACTCACTATTTTTGCGCCTCTACCAGCGTGTCTGCTGGAAGTGGGCTGCGGTCGGGCTTTATTCGACAGGCCGCGGTAAGACGCGGGCCGCTCTAAAGACTTCGGGATCTGGCCCGCCGGCCGGGGTTCGAAGACCCCTGTTCCAGAGTAACGTCCCCGATTTCAGCCAGCCTTATCGTTAACGTTTAGCACTCACAGTATCACAGACTACAATACAAAGTTTATAACAAGATCCTTCAACCCCAGCGCAAAACAGAACAATCTCAGGTTTCTGAAGCTATCAAGGTATGTTGCAAACCTTTATTGAGCTCACGACATGCTGCCTTCTAAGAAAAGAAGATTTGACTAACATATTTGTCTTCGCTGATTATGCTAATCAGAGGCATGTGGTTGTGTCATCTAACACCACCACGACGTCTCTTGAACAGACCTAAGGGGTCGGCTTGAGAGGTCTCGCATTCCTTAAGCCGAGTACATTTTTTTCCGCCGTCAGGTGCAAATTTCTGGCTATTGTTGCTTACTTGAATTGGTCTTCAAATAGGATTGTAGCGCGCACCTCCCGCCAAAGAACAGTGTCTTCCTCTACCAAATATTGCAACTCCAAGAGCGGCAACGAAGCAGAACACCGCTATCTTGGGAGCCGCCGTAAAACACTTGATTCCCGATTAGACCGAAGCTTGTCTTGACTTGGCTTCAGCATTCTCTCAAATTCTCGCGTATCGCGAAATTAGCGCAAAGGGTTTGCGGCAAGTTGAAGTACCTACGCCAGTTTTATAACAAAAAAATGTTGTGCGCACATAAAACCCCAAAAGCGGCCTGGGTTCGGCGCAGACGCAGTGGCGAGACTTCTTAATTTGAGCTCGCAAAGCCACTGGCTACTTTATCTTGAAACTTCCGAAATTCAAAATTTAAAACGTCTTAAATTTTGTTTAAGCCATGAAAATATCTGTCTATGTCTGGTCCCATAGTAGTATTCACGAAGGTCGATTGCTACCTTGAAGTAAATCAACAGATGTACAACATACGTTCTAAAAGGCCATTATATAAATATAACCGCGTTGCTTTGACGTTGGCAACTGATTTTTTTTTTTACCCGAGCATATCATCAGTGAACCTTGCTGCTCATAATTTCTGGATTTGTTTTTATTATTTGGCTTATTATTACTTTTTCTTATTTTTTTTTTTGCTCAAGTTATATTTTACATCATCACTACCATCGCATCAAATGTATTTATTTAAAAATTCTCCTGAAAAAAAATAACACAAAAAAGAAGACCGGAACAGCAATTTTATTTAACTGGGCCAGGATTATTGAAAGATGAGAATTATGTTGTTTCGTCACAACAAAAGCGACCACCTCAAAACAAGCAACAAACAAGCAAACAAATACACTAGTTTTGCAAGTAGTGCTCGTTTTCTACATATCTTCCTCTGAAAAGCGCATCAAACATTTTGTGCCTTATTATTAAAAAGTCTAAAACGACACATAAGCTTTTTTAAGCCTTTGCAAAAAATATTCTTTCTAATAAAACTGGGCGTGTCAGCAATGTTATAAATATGTTCTATGAACCAAAGCGCAAGGAAAGCCCCTAGAAAGGCAGACAATAAATAAAGTGATAATGGAAAGCCATCAAAAGGAGATGAAGAGTTGGTGTCTTGAACATTTCGTGTTGTAATATAAAACACCAGCAATTTCGCCCGGGGCGCTTAGAAGCAATACCCCAGCCACCGCTGAGCTGACAAAGTGCAGGTAGCTACGTCTCTGTCGGACCAAGCAATCTGCTCTCTGGGATTCGTAGAACCCGATTACCCAGAGCACTTGTCTAGACGTGGTAGTTCTTTGCAATACGTGTTTGAACAGGCAGTGAAATGTGACACGACTGTAGAAAGCCAAATTACTCCTTCCGTCCTGGTCTACTAGTGTAGTGCTACGTCACCATCAACTTTATCTGATACGTCCAATTGTCTACAAGACTGGTTACTACAACGAGTTTCCGGTTGTTGATACTTTTCCTGCTTAAGCCTCTCTCTGGAGTTGTGCCTTGGAAGAATTATTTATTACAAGGGGAGAAACCTTTATTGGTTCCGTTACAGAGCATTCTCAAGTCTACTGGTTGCGTCATTCTGGCGTTACAAAGCTAGACTGTAAAAATATGTTACTGAGAAAGATTACCGAAGCATTTGTGTCCCAATCAGTCTTAGTTAACCCTCCATGACTTTTCCCTACATCGTTGCCTATTTAGTTAGATTATATTATCCATCTCTTTTAAAATGCTATTTTTTCTCAGCCCACTAATTTATCTTTTACAAGGCCGAAACAGGTATGCAAGATTGCCTGGACCAAGAATGCCACCGCGGCCTACCATTATTTACAGCTGCAGTGCTAGTTTAATATATTACCGACTTGAATGGCCTTGCCGATAGCACGTGTAACGTTAATACGAGTATTCTTCTTTCCTAACCGATCCCTTCCCTCATCAAATGTCGGGGTACTGAGGATTCTCGTAAATAATTAAATAAATAAGCTTTTATTATAAATATACTGTCTTTTTTTCAATCCAGTATTTGCATGCAAAAGCTGGTGGTATACGATTTGTTCTTTATAAAATGGAGATCGTAAAAGTGGTTTGGCAAAGCAAAATAAATCGTCTATAGGTATTATATGGCCACGATGTTAAGTCATCTAAAAAGTCTGCAAACATTTGCTATTTTTTTTTAATTTTTCATCTGAGGAAGGCGCATGCGTCCTTGGTACACGCTTCAGAAATAATGAAAATTTCCAGTACGTAGAAATTCAACATTCAGTGTTCTAATTTAAGAGACATTTCACTGGACACTTGCCAAAGAAGGTTGGAAAACGGTAAAAATTTCAACTACATTATTAGGCTACAAACACTGAGTGCGTATGTTTGAAAAACCTTGACTAAATTACATGTTAAAGTTTTTATATTGAGTCTGTTACTCCCGCAAAGTTCCCTCCTTCAATTTTACTCTCAGAAACTACCTTGTTTTACTCTAGTATATGTAATGAAAATATAATGGATACTCTCATTATGCTTTAATTATGCTTACCCCAGCCCCAAGACGTAAAAAATATATACGTACTGTTTAGCTATTTGTACGTTAAAACAAACTATTTTGGTAACATGCGCGGGGCATCAAAGTTTAGTAATCACTTTTTAAGACCAAACAAACGATTTGGTAGTTGCCATTAGAAGATCCTACCTCAGTCATGATGAGAAAGCATTGTCTTGATTGTCTCGCAGGAATTCCAAAGTGTTCGAGTACATAGCAAAACTCCTCTACGTCCACCACGTCATCGCCTGAAAACGTACATTAAAAATTAGAAAGGTGAAAACATAAAAAAATATGATTGACAATGGTTGGAAGCGTAATGAGTAAATTTAAATGTTAAATGAAGTTGAGCAATATAGTAATCCTAGTTTAATGTTCATTCATGTACACACTGTCGTTCAGCAGGTGAACGTCGAGCGGCAGGTGAGCTAACATTTTAGGTCGAGGAAAACCAATTTCCACTTCACAAAGATTAATGTTCCTCTTCGTTAACCGTATTGCTTAAAAAGATGACATAGATCAAATTATGATCCCTAGACACACAAATAGGAGCATATTTCAGACTAAACGTAACTAACTTCAAACTGCGCCGTTTTGCATGACTCAGCCTTAAGTTTACCACGATTGTTTTAAACATGTACTTACTCATTTCAAACTGTGATTGAGATGAAAGGATTATATCTTTTTTGCTCTAGCTCTCAATGGGGTTTTGGGCAAGTCGGCCGAAATAAACAGGCATACAAGAGCGACAGGACAGTAGTGCTAAACGTAACCACAAACAACCCTCTTGTGAAACCATGCTATCTCTCAAGAATTACATGGCTTCCACGCATAGGTAACGTAATCTCCACCTTAAAGGAGGCCATGAAACAATACTGAGTTAAAATTTTGAATGATTCGCACATACAAGATGACAGAAATACAGCACAAGTTTCACGCATTCCATGCCACGCAACCAGAAGCCTCATTGTCATGGTGTAATTTTTAGGAAAAAGAAACGGACTCCTTCTTTTACTCTTTATATCACAAAGCTTGATAATGTAGTCGTGTAACCAAGATGTTGGCGTAGTCACGGAAATAACCGCTGGTTAACGATAGGTGAATGCGACGAATGAAGCGGACACGAACATTGCATCAGTACTTGACTTGAGCTGGAATACTATCCACGTTTCTTGACATTAGTGTCATGGCTTGTGCCCAATCACTACACTAGTGAAAACTGCCTAGATCTCAAACGTCCTCGGGATGTCTAAATTCCTTTGCGTTTCCAACCCAACCTCCTCCTCCTCCTCCTCCTCCTCCCCCCCCCCCCCCCCAATGAGCAGCGACCGAACGGCGGAAGATCATGTGAGCCCAAGTTTGTGGTGCGACTTAAGAGTGAAATTTCTCTTCTTTCTTTCATTTTTGTCTAATACTACGTCTAGATAAAATGCAATGCTAGAATTGAAGGTAATGAACTTCAAGAAGTTCTACACACCAGACCATTCCTGCGACTGAGGCTTGTTGCCAAGTCGCCAGAACACGCACACTGCTCTATCAACAATCCTTCAAACGATCTTATGGTGAGGAACCCCAAGACAGCCAATAGAATACCAATGAGCTCGTGGTAATAAACTTCCTCAACCACCAAAATGGCCCGTTCTGAAAAGCCTCTCCTAAAATACCTGGGACCCTACCAGGTGATTGGCCAAACTTGACCTGTAAGCTACCCAGTGGAGAGAACAACCTCCAAATGGCCGGCGGGCCCAATGTCACCACGTTGTGCACGTCAATCGTCTAAAGCCATTCACTGGCAGCGACACCAACTTTTAACTTATTGGACTTTAATTTCCGGCCGAAATAGCCTTCTTTGAAGACAGCGAGAAGGGAGCGAGTGTTTCGGCGTAATAGTGTACGTATTCAAAATCTAAACTCGGTGATCTCGGAAGCCGTTAACACTGTTTGCTGATCCTTTAGCTAGAACACCCCCGCAATATATATAATTCATTATGAGCAGATTATGTACATTAATAATTAATTCTGAAGACGTTAGAGACATTAAAATTAGTTGCAAACAAAAATATGAACATATAATATTTATGTTGTTCGATGGTAAAGTAAAAAACAAAAATACATTATTTAACATTATTGTCGCGACCATATCCGTTTGGAATAAAATGCTTCATATCTGCAAACTTAATCTGCCCAGTTGCTTAGAGTGTTCTATAGGTACCATCTTTACTCCCGCTACACTCTACCAAAAGTTTCCTCACAGTAGACCCATGCGGGCGTTTTAGGGATCCCTACAAGCGGGAGATATAAACCAGGTTCTCAGCATCACGAGCCTACCTTTGCGACCACTGGCGGGGATGCAAAACACAAGCCGAACTAACTAAGCTCGCAAGACATACATCTGCGAGTTTGTCTCCTAAAACATAACATGCAGGGACGTGAGAATGCATAGTCTTTTAAACTAAACACCTGCCATCCGAGTTAACCAAGCTGGCAGCTTCATTTCTGAAGCAAACGATATCACCACGTTCAACGAGGCTAGTTTTTGTGTTATTTGAAATATACTATTTTCAGCTTTAAATTTCGCGAGTGTACCGGGTGGTGTTTTTAATGCGCAGAGGAAGTGTTTCCTAATTTACCAAATTTCTCATAGAGCATTTGACAAGGTATATATTGTCACGGTTGGTGACCAAAAGAAAACAGGAAATAAACAGGGAGAAATAAACGTTTAATGTGGCGAACTTGTGCCGAAAATAAAGAAGGAAACAGAAGAAAGCAGAGCGTCGCGGGCGTCGAAGTCGGCGTGTCAGCAGAATCGAGCGCTAGGGCGAGACTGACTCGACAAGGTCGCGGGCGGCCTCTTATCTAGAGTGCGCCGCTATCTCGAAGATTCGGCGAAAGCGGTTCGAGCGTCGCGTGATCGGGGCGAGAATGAACACGCACTTTCTAGAAAACAAAAGCAGGGATAAATGATAGAAGTTACGTGCGGTACATGAATAAACGGGAACTTTCTGGAGGACCGTGACCGAGCGTTGCTTTCTCAGCCTTGCGCGCGGCATTACTCCCCCCTTTAAAAGTGCATCGCCCCGATGCAGTGTAAAACAAATCAAAATAAAAAAAGAACGATAAACTAAAGAGTCTTTTGGAGCACAAAAGGTCCACAGACCTATCGAGCGTAGTACGGCTTCAGGCGCACGACGTGGACGACCTCAGGTCGTGGTGGGCGGCGTGACGATGTTCGTGTTCCGTCGGGCATCACCTCGTAGTTCAGCTCGCCGAGGCGACGAAGTACCTTGTATGGTCCAAAGTACCGTTTCAGCAGTTTCTCTCTAAGGCCGCGGCGACGGATGGGCGTCCATACCCACACCCTATCTCCGGGCTGGAAGTGGACGTCCCTGCGACGAAGGTTGTAGCGGCCGGCGTCGACGCGTTGCTGGTCTTGAATCAGGAGTCGGGCGAGCTGGCGAACTTCTTCGGCGCGTTGAGCAACCGCCTGGGCGTCGTCGCTCTCGTTGTCAGATGGCTCATGGGGCAGCATGGCGTCCAGCATGGTCGTTACCTTCCGACCATGTACCAGCTGGAAAGGGGTGAATCCAGTGGTCTCTTGAACCGCCGTATTGTAGGCGAACGTGACGTAGGGCAGCACCTCGTCCCACGTCTTGTGCTCTACGTCGACGTACATAGAGATCATATCGGCGATTGTCTTGTTGAGTCGCTCCGTCAGCCCGTTGGTCTGCGGGTGGTACGCAGTTGTACGACGATGGCTGGTGTGACTGAGTCGGAAGATTTCTTGGGTCAGTTGTGCCATGAACGATGATCCGCGATCTGTAATCAGAACTTCTGGAGCGCCGTGCCGGAGGACGATGGACTCAATGAAAAACTTGGCAACTTCCACAGCAGTCCCCGAAGGAAGAGCTTTCGTTTCGGCGTACCGCGTGAGATAATCTGTGGCGACGATGATCCAGCGGTTCCCCGACGTCGAAGGCGGAAAAGGACCGAGTAGATCCATTCCGATTTGCTGGAAGGGTGCAGTTGGAGGAGAAATAGGCTGCAGGAGTCCGGCCGGCCTCGTCGGAGGTTTCTTGCGTCGCTGGCACTCGTGGCATGATCGTGTGTACAGGTGGACGGTCTTGGGGAGCTTGGGCCAGTAATACTTTTCACGAATACGGGCCAGTGTCCGGCTGTATCCAAGGTGTCCGGACGTCGGGTCGTCGTGACATGCTTGAAAGATCTCCCCTCGAAGGTCGGTCGGGATTACCAGCAGCCACGGCGAGTTGTTGTTCCCGAAGTTCTCTTTGTAGAGTACACCTTGTCGGATGGCGAAGGTCGGCAGTACTCGTGAGAAGACAGGTGGCACGGTACTCCTGCCCCCTTCCAGGTGCTCGATTAATGCGCGCAGCTCAGGATCGTCCCGTTGACGTCGTGCCATATCGTCGGTGTTCACTGCTCCTAGGAAGCACTCGTCGTCACTGTCGTCGCTGCAGCCGGAAGGGGTTTCGACGGGGGCTCTGGACAGGCAGTCGGCGTCGCTGTGCTTGCGGCCTGACTTATAGACCACTGTCATGTTGAACTCTTGTAGTCGAAGACTCCATCGAGCGAGGCGTCCTGAGGGGTCCTTCAGGTTCGCAAGCCAGCAGAGCGAGTGGTGGTCCGTGACTACACGAAACGGGCTCCCGTACAAGTACGGACAAAACTTCGTTATTGCCCAGACGACCGCAAGGCATTCTTTCTCAGTCGTGGAGTAATTTTTCTCCGCCTTGGACAATGTCCGACTCGCGTAGGCGATGACTCGCTCGATGCCTTCTTGCACTTGGACTAGTACTGCGCCCAGTCCCGCGTTACTTGCGTCCGTGTGAATTTCTGTTTCCGCATCCTGGTCGAAATGTCCAAGCACAGGAGGAGTCTGGAGTCGTTGTTTCAGTTCGTCGAATGCCTGCTGTTGCTCCTCGGCCCATTCGAACTTCTCGGCGTCCTTCGTGAGATTCGTAAGTGGTGCGGAAATCCTTGCGAAATCCCGAACGAAGCGTCGATAATAGGCACAAAGTCCAAGGAATCTTCGCACGGCCTTTTTGTCTGTCGGCGCTGGAAATGCCGCGACGGCGCGAGTCTTCTCGGGGTCTGGGCGGACGCCTTCGTTACTAACCACGTGGCCAAGGAACTTCAGTTCGTCATAGGCGAACCGGCACTTTGACGGCTTGAGTGTGAGTCCGGCGGTCTGAATGGCTTGAAGAACAGCTCGGAGTCGTCTCAAGTGCTCGTCGAAGTCAGCTGAAAATACTACGACGTCGTCAAGGTAGACGAGACAACTCTGCCACTTCAGCCCTGCCAGCACGGTGTCCATGACACGCTGGAAAGTTGCTGGCGCCGTGCATAGTCCGAAGGGCATCACCTTGAACTCGTACAGTCCATCCGGCGTGACGAAGGCTGTCTTCTCTCGGTCCCGTTGGTCGACCTCGATTTGCCAGTAGCCGCTCTTCAGATCCATCGATGAAAAGTATCGAGAGTGGCGCAGCCGGTCTAGAGTGTCGTCGATGCGGGGGAGTGGGTAGACGTCTTTCCTCGTAACCGTGTTGAGCTGCCGGTAGTCCACGCAGAACCGAAGAGTTCCGTCCTTCTTCTTAACCAGCACGACTGGAGAGGCCCATGGACTGCTTGAAGGTTGGATTATGTCGTCATTCAGCATCTCTTGAACTTGCTGATGGATCACCTCCCTTTCCTTAGCGGAGACTCTGTACGGCGATCGATGCACAGGGCGCGCGTCGTCCTCGGTAACGATGCGGTGCTTGGCAACCGCGGTCTGGCGCATCTTCGACGACGTCGCAAAGCAGTCGCGGTATTCGGCGAGGAGGTTAGCCAGCTGACGCCGTTTAGGGTCCGGAAGCTTAGGGTCAATGTCGAGCTGCGCTGGCGACGTACTGTCTTGCTGGGGCGGCGAGGATTCGTCAGTAATCGCGGTGATTTCGGCGGGGTTTCGGAGTTTCTCGATGTGGCCCACGGCTGCACCTTTTGTGAGGTGTTGCGTTTCGTTTCGGAAGTTCGTCACGAAGGCCACAGTCCGCCCGTCCTGAAGTTCAGCTACTCCCCTTGCGACGCCTATGCCTCTTCCCAGGAGCAATTGGAGGCTTCCCTCGAGAAGAACTTCGCCACAGGAAGCTTCATCGATCCCGACAAGTACGAAAACACTCGACCACGGTGGTAGGTTTACGTGGTTTGCGAGGACTCGGACCGTGGGTGACGTCGCTTGGGGTCCCTCCGCTGGTGGAGCAGGTTTTCGTAGCGTCAGCCGGTTTGTTCCGAGATCGATGACGGCGCCATACTCGCAGAGAAAGTCCATTCCGAGGATAACGTCGCTCGAACAGTCTTGCAGAACGACGAACTTGACAGGGCACGTTTCACCGTGGATGTCGACGCGAGCAGTGCATCTCCCGACTGGTGTGATGAGATGTCCTCCGGCGGTTCGTATTTGGGGTCCTTCCCACGGCGTCATGACTTTTCGAAGGCGGCGGGAGAGCCTCCCACTCAAGACTGAGTAGTCTGCTCCGGTGTCCACGAGTGCCGATGCGTCGAGGCCGTCGATCACAACGTTCAGGTTGTTAGACACCGATGCAGGAGCGTCGTTGTGATGCTTGGGGTCGGGAGAGTGGGAGCGCTCCGTCGTTCTTGGAGGCTCTTTACGTCGGTTGTCTTCGGCAACTCCACCTCCAGGGGTTGCCGCGCCTAGTTTCCCCGGTGAGGAGCGAGGGGTGACAGGCTTTCACGGCGGGGTCGGTGCATCGGCGAAGCTGGACGTCGGGGCGATGGCGACCGGAACTCTCGGCGGGACGCAGGCTCGGGGGACTGGGGTCGTCGCAGGTACTCGTCGATCTCCCGAGGGCGTTCACCATACCGGGGGCGCGGGTCGTTTGGGTGGAATCCGCGCAGCCCGAGTCGTCGGTATGGGCATCGGCGGTACACATGGTCGGCTTCCCCGCAGTGGTAGCAGAGCGGGCGTCGGTCGGCCGTTCGCCACACATCGGTCTTCCGGGGTACACGGGGCTCCTGGCTGGCGTACTGGGGCTGGTCGTCGCGGCGTCGGTCGTGCTGCGGCGCAGGAGACTGGCGTCGGGGCGGCGCGACATAGGCGCGAGGAGGAGGCGGTGGCCGTCGGGCCACTGCGGCGTAGGTCACGGTGGGCTCCTCGGGTGCAGCTACGTTGGCAGGAGCCTCCAGTTGAATTGCCCGCTGAACCTCGTCGCGGACAACTTCGGCTATTGACACCGAAGCCGGCTGGTGGGTAGCAGGCAGGAGCTTCTTAATTTCCTCCCGGACGACGTCCCGGATGATCTGGCGAATGCTGGAGATGCTGGAGCCAAGGTCGCAAGCGGACGGCGGAACCGCGCTGACGCCGGGTAGCCTCTGGTAGTGGCTGGCTCGGGATTGCAGTGCACGCTCAATGTTCGTCGCCTCGGTTACAAATTCTTGAATCGTCGTCGGTGGGTTGCGTACGAGGCCACCGAAAATGTCGTCCTTCACGCCGCGCATCAGGATACGCAGCTTCTTTTCCTCGGTGGACTGAGGGTCGGCGCGGCTGCTCAGGCGGAGGACGTCTTCAACGAAGCTGGTTACCGTTTCGTTGGGCCCTTGAGTTCGTACTTGAAGGAGGTCTTCCGCTCGCTGTCGTCGTGTCTGGTTCGTGAATGTCTCCTTCAGGCCAGCGGTACAGGTGTCCCACGACGTAAGCGACGCCTCGTGGTTCTCGAACCACTGCCTCGCGGTACCCTCCAAGGAGAAGTAGAGGTTTTGGAGGCGCTGCTCAGTGGTCCATCCATTATGGCGTGCTACACGTTCGTAGTGCAGGAGCCAGTCCTCTACGTCTTCGTGGGTCTCGCCATGGAAGGTCGTCGGGGTTCGCTGGGCAACAGGCAGGTAGACGACGGCGGCGGCGGTCGGGGACTGCGATTGCTGGTCGTCCATCGTCGGCCTCGTAGGCTGCCTGGTCCTGGGTGGCAGAAGTCCGTATTCCGGGTGTAGACCTTGGGTTCGGCGACTGGTCCGAGTTTCAGGTTCCGCGTTGAGTGGTCTTGTCACAGGGCTTGGAATCGGGCTTGCACTGCGGGCCCCGGGAGGGGAACGCTGTACGGGCATGCGGTACCCCGCACCTCCACCAAAATGTCACGGTTGGTGACCAAAAGAAAACAGGAAATAAACAGGGAGAAATAAACGTTTAATGTGGCGAACTTGTGCCGAAAATAAAGAAGGAAACAGAAGAAAGCAGAGCGTCGCGGGCGTCGAAGTCGGCGTGTCAGCAGAAGCGAGCGCTAGGGCGAGACTGACTCGACAAAGTCGCGGGCGGCCTCTTATCTAGAGTGCGCCGCTATCTCGAAGATTCGGCGAAAGCGGTTCGAGCGTCGCGTGATCGGGGCGAGAATGAACACGCACTTTCTAGAAAACAAAAGCAGGGATAAATGATAGAAGTTACGTGCGGTACATGAATAAACGGGAACTTTCTGGAGGACCGTGACCGAGCGTTGCTTTCTCAGCCTTGCGCGCGGCAATATGCATGTCTAGAGTTTTTGGGAAACAGGAATTACAATGGCCAACCATCACGAAAAGCCTTTAAGACACAAATACCTTTTTTCTGGGAAAAACCTCTTTTTCCCGAGACGCTAGTTATGTCTCTACCCTTGCATATTACCACATCTTATAGTAATGGCAAAAATACGAGCGTTCTATACTAGGTTCGTTTTCGGAGGCCCGGAGCATATACGTTGTGTGCTACAACGAGTTTAGAAAATGTAATTGGGACAAAATAATCTAACTTGCTAAATTCTTTTAATTTTTGTCTACGCGTTGACACAGCGGTCCATGAAACAATGATCTTAAATGATGAATTATTTCTAAATAAAACCAACTCACATGTTCGGTCGTACATGTTGAATCGAAACCACATGTACGTTGCCAGCCATTCTGGGGCGTCGCATTCTTCGTTTTTTCTTTCTTTCTCCGAACGCCGCTCCCAGAGCCTCAACTGCAAGTGAAAAGAGACGCGGTCATTAGGTGATGGTCATGACAATTCGCATTTTATTTTTCGACCAACCGCTGCAAATAAATTAGGAATAAAAATAAAACACAGCACAAAAATAAATTGCATTTGCCTGCATTGTCAATCGAGAACGATTAATACTTATGGGATGAGAAATTGACTTGAGAGCGTTGCTTTGAACAATTTTCATCGAAGGTCAGACGACTTCGCATCTGTTGGTTGATAGTGGAAACATTCATTGTTCTATATTTGTCTTTTACTTGAACGTGTTAAGCAACGAGCAAGCGACATTATGAAGAGTAGGTTTGTTGTCTTGCTTTGTGGTTGTCAAGACATTCGGCAAAATATGGCTGCGATGGGAGATTGGCTGTACCTACTCCTCTAACTTAATAATCATGTTCACGTAGATTATTAAAGTCTTCTAAATGTTTAAACATCTCTAAATATTTTCATTCCTTTTCAGAAATGTATCCGTATTCATGAGGGAACTTCAGAACCTCTACGCCGGGGAAGCAGCTTGGCCGCTTTGTGCGGATCTGCAACACCGATTAGTTGCCCAGTGTCGGCCGTTTCTCCCACGCGTGCGGTTCAGTTCCAAAACAACCTCGCTCACCCCGGTACGCAATTAAGTGAGCAGGCCTTTAAGCGCCCAGGATCTCGGTCTTTGGGCTCGCATAACATCACAATATCGTTTAGCGATCAAAAGAGACACCGGGTACACCACCAAGACAAAACTGGGGAAGCGACAGTGACCGTGTTCACGATTCACTCAACAGAGGCGGGTGTTGGTATTCTGCTTTTTACTTTTCTGAAAATATATTGCTGAAACTTTGTGTTCGGCGTGTCCTCTCTACTTTAAAAAGTGGATCACCACACATCATAGAAATTCAGCCAGAGGCGTTGTGACTACCAACAAAAATATTTTAGGGCCACGAAAACCTCTGTTGTCGATATTCGGTATGATTGCTTTGTTTTACAGCTGCTTTGAGCTGAGTATGTGAAAAGTTCGTTGTAATCGTCTTTCTGATTTTCTACATGCATGTAAACATGTATGTTTAAAATAGACTTCCAATGACGTTTAGAACTACTCCATTTCTAATATATGACAAACAGTCCTTTCGGGCGACCATTCTCTTTTTAATTATATAAATTACTGGTCTAAGACGGTGGAACAAAGGTCACAGAATTTAATTTGAAGCGCTAAAGTGTGGACTTCTAAGCTATAGGCTTGTAAATGATCGAAAAACTGGAGCGATTTGAGGGACGAAACGTTTGAAGAACTACTGAGGGTTCGCAATGGCTCAGGTTTCCGAAGGGTTGAGGGCTCCGAAGAACTGAGGGATTCTGAAGCACTCTGGGCTTGTAGGAGTCAGGGGAGAGACCTCATAGGGCTGAAACAATATTTTAGATTATTATTGGCTAATAGTTTTTTAGGGTGGCCTCTAGGTTTTATAGTAAATTAATTATCGTCCTAGAGTCAGCGACAAAAGCTCTTGCTAAAAAATATAAATATCACACCTCCGCACGCTACCCCAGGGGAAGGTCCCCGATTGTCTCCACTTGACGACTACTTATCTACAAACCTGTGGTTTCTACAACGCACAAAAGCAAATATTAACCCGGTACACCTGAGCGAGATGTCCTAAATGTGCCACGTAGGTATTCTCCACTTCGCCATAGTCCCTAGAGGCTTATCCAGCTATACTGTTAGTTCTTAAGAATTTCAAGGCTTTTCTTTGTTTCATGTTACACATACTTAAAGCCTAGTTTTCAAGGCATTAATAAACCTCACTGCAAGTTCATCCAGCATTTGTATTTTTATTTTGGAGTTTTGTAGCCATCATTATGTTCGTTCCATACATACGTTCATTGGATAGAATTTTGTTTAAGCCGCAATATATTCGGATTCACAATATTTGGTCTTCATTTTCGTATGCTTTCGGTATTAATTCATATATTTTTGGCCTTGCGTGCATGTTCTGCTTGAAGAATACTTGCACCCACAAAGTCAACATTTTTTATCGTCTCAACAGTAAACGTTAACTTTCAAGCCGCGAAACTGTAAACAAAATTGACGTTTACTTTCTTGGTCGGTGAAGCCGCGCTTTTTTATCGTGTTAAATCCAATTTCTTGATGGCCTCAACCATTATCTTTTTTTTTCTTGATGACTTGTAGGCTCTAATATAAGACACCAAACGTGGAAAATGGTTGCACGCCCCATTTCAGTGTGCTGCCACTATTTTTGAAAACAATATTAGCTGCCAAAAGCAATGAGCCACATAAATAATTACACAATAGCGTGAACGGAGTCTCACGCCAGTGAATGCTGACATCTTGAGTCGATTTTTTTATGTTACCCACAAGTGGCCGAGAGGGATGGGGAGGGCACAGAAGACGGAGAAGTGCTGCTTCAGCATTCGGTTCGGAATCGTAGCCATTTTGTTAGACCACGAGTCTCAGACAAACTCTCGCGTCACATCTGTCATATCTCGGTCACGCGTTGGCCGCTTTTAGGTGCCATGTAAAATCAAAGTTTTATGGCCATGCTACCTAGTAGGTGTTTTACGGACCTGCTATTTTTTTGTTATAACGGGACTGAGCCCAAAAGGAAGTAACCCCAACTAAAAAAAAAAAAAAAAAACCTTTTGAAATTTAGACGTTTTAATACCGGGAACCGGTTCAAACCTTCGCATAGCGCCATCACAAAACTGCTGACTGGTTTGGTAAAAGTTCTCACAGTTTAAATCAAATCGTTTTACTGCTTGAGCGGAGCGGTACGCGGACCTGTTCACACCGCACAGCGACGTCGCAAACGGCTTGAAACTGGTCACCGGTTAAGTGGAACCGATAAGCAGTTTGATCAAAACGGATTCAAGTTTCGTTATACCGCTGCTTTGCCGCCACGGGAGAGAGGCGAAAAAAAGCAGGCTACCTCCATCAGACGTCGAAAATTGTAACATAAACAACGCCACCCGTCCCCGTATCACACTGGTTCGTAGAATCAAACTTGTGTAATGTTGCACACATAAAATTAATGGCTTCTTCATTTCAAATTTTCGTTAATTTCTCCTAATGCAGGGTTTGTCAAGTTCAAATGGATCAACCCCTGTAGCTCATCCAAACGAGTTCATCCAATAAGTTTGTGTATTGAAAAAATCGCCACAAACTCGTAATATTCGTGTGCTGGATCAATTCATTTCCGATGGCACTCATTTGGGGCTAACGAGGGACCTTCCACCAAACCAGGATGGCCTGTTCAAAAGGGTGCCGTATCAAACGTGAACACGTATCGAACCGGTGCCCGTATCAAATCTGTAATAAACTGCCACCCTTATTAAAAGGGTACCCATATCACACGGGCACCCGCAACAAGCGGGTACCTGTATCTTATAATGCCATATGACATGAACGGGGCGAGCTGTTTAGAACCAATGGACCTTTTTCCAGTAAGCGTCTGCGCACGCGCACACCCTTTTCCCTTTACCTTGACCGCCCTTTCGCCATTCTTGGGGGGCACTGTTTTCTTGCGACACTAATCTGTTCCTTAGGGAGAAGGCGAGTCCGGTTGCCCTCCATTTGTAGTTGGCGGCGAAACCGCCATGAGGCACTCCTTACTGGAAAAAGGTCCATTCAAAATTCAAACGCTTTTTTTTTATAAGGAGGACTTTTGGGAAAGGGGTTTCTCACCTGAAAAAAGCGCGCTTTCGCCGCCTAAGCATTTAACATAAATTTCAAGCGACGAAATGTTTTGTGTTCTCTTCTCCATACTACGAGATCTAGGTGGGTTTCGGGGAATGCAAAGTTAAGCGAAACTTGTGATAGACACAATATTGCTGATGAAAGTTAAAAAACAAAACAAAAAAACTTCATGATTGTGATGCCGCAGGGCTGAATTTGAGGCGTTACCTACCTTGGGCCAGCGCGGTAATTTGATTGGACACTAGAGCTGCTTCAGCGTTCGGTTGCGACGCGCCTTTATTCGATGAGAACACAAGTACTAGCCAAATGCTGACGCACTCAATCTGTCCAGTTTGTGCCCCACATCGGTCTCCCGCATTTTACATAAAAAACGAGCACTGCGCCCTGTTTTCCAGGAGATGGATCTCAAAATACATAACGTCTTGTGCCAATGAAGTCAGTGCTTCGTTGTGTACTCCTTTTAATTACGTCGCTACTAATCAAAACACTTTGGTGGTTCCTGAAACCCTTCATTATGCGAATTTGCGTCTATGAGCACCCCTGTTTCGGATCTACCGTATACTCTCATGAGATCATACTCTCAGGCTGGCACACTGTCCTCGTTTAAAAAAAGTTAAAGCGAGTTTTGTTCTGGTTCTGAACCGTTAGATTATCTTATGGTTAACTGCGACGTTGGTGGGACTCGTAGATATCTACCTAATGCCGCATAAACTTTAATGGGCCGTAATACAAGGAGGGTGAGAACTACGGTGCCCTCTTTGACGCGGAATATCGTGTCTGACTTATTACATTAAATGGTCTTTACATGTTTTCATCCCGCTTTAGTTGCAATTTGAGGGCATTCAACTTTAAAAACGCTATTTTCTATCAATTGAAAACTTCATTTCTTCCAGGAAAAGTTCGCAAAATTAAGGGTCATCTTCAAACGTTTTTATGGCTCCTTGTTTTTTCAGAATCCGCCAATAATTTTTTAACAATCTGTCCACCAATAAAACATAGTCTCCGAAGGTTATGCTATCTACCATACACTTTTTTAATTTAGAGGCTGGATGGACGGATAGATAGATGGATGGTAATGGCTATATCCTTTCTAACGGGCGGAAGCTTGCGCGACCTAGCCTAACTTTCAAAATAGTTCTTGATTTTTTTAATGTTTTGTATATATGACGTGCACCATCACGCTCACATTGAAAAATGTTGGCGACTGTAGGTCTTTTGCAGCCCTGAACATTCCGGGCTGTTTTTAGTTTGCAGGACCACCACCTTTATTTCTAATTAAGAGTAGAACGACCAATAGTAAACCCCAAGTTTTCGCGAAATGTTACAAACTTACCCATTCTTCGGAGGTTATTTGATTGTCCGAGTCATAGTCGGCCTCTGCCCTGAGCATCTTCCACATTTCCTCGAAAAGTTCTTGCGTCTTGACGTATTTTGGAGAACCTTCCTCCCAACCATTCAGCTTGCAGATGTGCTGCGGGTAATAGGGCACATCAAAGCGAATAACGCTGTTAACTAGGTAAGACCCTTTTTGTAAAAATGTAATTATTATTAGAAAGGCGCATATAAATATGTAATCTCCTTTGCTCTTTTAAGCGGCAGCAGGATGAAATAAAGATACATACTTTTCTCGCTTCATTGAAGTCTTCAACAGTTATAACGCCATCCTTGTTTATATCTGTCGATTAAGGAACACTTAAGTAAGGCTCTAAAATAACTCAACTTTTCTTAAAAAAGACTCTTGGGTACGCATTTGCAAAAAACAAAAAATTGCTCTTCCATTCCTGTTGTCGTGAAGGGGCCTAAAATAGCAATATGCCCATTACCACAATAATGAACGCAGGAAATATGTTCGCACTTTAAAATGTATATAACTGTACGCACTCTTTTCATACCTATTGAATGTGTTAAAATACGCCACCGCTAAATATAGTTGTGTGGAGCTTAACTGGTATCTGTAGAGATGGTATTCAGTTTTGTACGTATTGATTAAATGTCGTTATGATACATATACAATGAAAAAGATACACTTTTCGCTAAGCAATTTAGAGGTTGATGGAACTTGTAGAGGACAGAAGGAGACGAATCTCAATGTGGGATTGCTAGCATATGCTGAATTATAAATATTTGAACGCAAAAATGCATCTTAAATGCTAAATTGTATTGCTGCAAGTATATTATTTACACGAAGAGAAAGATTACTCATTTGCTTTGTAATTTTCGCCCATAGAATGCACTACATGTTCCAACTTTGGATGGAAAACAAAGGGTTCATATTTATTTTTGTATAAACAATGTATCTTGCTTTCTCGGAAATAAAATAGTGATCTATTTAGAACTATTAAATTCAGCCTTACGGTGGAGACATTAAAGTTGAAATATAGTTATATCGCGAGCTCCTACTTGGACACAATTGAGAGATGTCGGGACAGTGTATAAAATGAAGAACTCAATAAATGCATCATGGGTTCTAAATTAACCAAATTGTTTTGCACCTTCTGCACTCTTACAGAAGTGACACCCCTATTATCATGATCGCATACTCGACATTTTTAAACGTTGATATATGATTGACATATCTCATTTTTTCTTCATTCCTAATGTTGAACTAAATTTGCTAATGTGACTGAACAAAAAAAAAGTCTTAATGCAAAGTGAAACGTTGTTTAGCATGATATGAATAACAGCTGCAAAAACGAGGACCACAAAATGGACACTGGCGACAAAGCAATTCATGACATTACAAATGACAAAATTAGTAGTATTTAAAGAATGATTGATATACGTATTTAAATTCTTCTAGTACCTTGTGTCCTTAGATTCCATTTCACATTAAGGAATGCATTTTTAATAGGGCCGGGCACTTCATATTTTAACCCTACGATTCATAAAGTAATGCTTTAATCGCGATTATTTCTTCAGACGAAAAATGCATAATATTTCCGATAAACAAATATATTAAAAATGCAAAACATTCATCACGCAGACATGGACAAATTTTCCTGTATGAAGACAACCTATCATGACAATTTAATCTAAATTTAACTACAGATCAGCATTTAAGGCTCAAATCAAGTGGAGAGCGAATTTCTGTTTAGCGCAGGAGAAACTTTTGTGAACGATCAGAAAAGTTCGCTATTGCAGAATAATATAAACGAGTCTCTACCTCTGCAACTAAAGTAATATTTTTGTGTGTGGGTTTCTTCCTACTGTTGTCAACAACACTTCAAGTTTGGTTAAAAATTTGAAAGTGTACATTGCGCTGTTCATCACATATTCAGCAAAAGCAAATACATTTTTCACTCTTATGGTCTATTATGCATGGGAATGAATGAAACCGATTAATAGATTAATGAATGGATTGAAGCGTGGCGATTCATTGTGTTAAAGAGTTTAAACGATGCCCAGCCCTAATTAGCAAATATTAAATACTGGAACTGGAAACTCGAAAACCATTTTAATTAAATGCTATATTGTTCCTTCATCGTGATATCCTTTGTATTTCAAGAGCCCGACTCTTGCGGTGGTTTGATAACTTTGCCAAAAAAGGGAGACAGTTCGAACGGACGGGCAAACAGAAGTAATAGAGAGTTTTCTATGTTTGCTTTTCATCCAACGAATCCTGTCTAGGTTGTCGCCCTGGCGCAAACGTTTGAAGTAGTGGCGCTTCGAGGATTGTCACCCCCATGTTATACAAACCGCTTTTTTCTTTGCTGAGGTCGATCGGCCTAGATGTTTTATGTAGCCTTTAGAAGTAAGCTCACACCGTACTTGAATTGCACATGTTTTCCTGAATCTATATCCCCCAATTTTACGTCAAATGAACATTATTGCCTAGTTTTTTTTTTGTTTTATATATTCGAATTCCGCTAAAGATAGCCTCCGTTCGCTTCAAAACAGCGCTTTTACTTTTACGTAGGGTTAAATGTAAGTCAGACATTTCCAAGTATAGGATTAAATTTATTTCGAAAAGCATATAAAGATGGCGGAGTTTGTTATAGTTTAAACATAATAATTTGTAAAATATTCCAAGACTTGTGGCAATAAACATGTTTGTGCAGAAAGTTTTTTTATTTTGCATCTGTTATGTGTTAATATTTTACAAAATTCCTGAATATTATCATTCCCTAAAATTATGACACCAAATCTGCATTGCTTCGTTAAGGGTCAAGCACCACAATTTTAGTCGAAAATATCAATACAAAAATCTTTATTTCGATCACACAACTCCTTGACCCTACGTCAAGTTTGGCCGAGGTATGGCCCTGACCAGTAGAGTTCCCTTTATTACAATAATAGACTCGGTAAGTGATAAACGATTTGATGCGCGACTTGCTGGTGCCCTAAATTTATATTACCACAATTTTGTTCTAATATTTTGGCTATGATTTCTTTCTAACCCAACACCGCAAGCCAATTTTGTCTCAATTCTTGTGTAATAGAAAAAAAAACTTACAGTACAGAAATCATATAGAAACCTTTTGCAACAACGACACCTTTCTTGGCATTTGCTATTGCTCTGTGCAGACTTCTCGTAGTTTTTAAAAATTAACACTACCTCTAGCTCAAAAGCTAACTAATAAAAATGCGTATTTTAAAAATATTTAATATTATCCAAAGGACCTTTCTGGTTATAGTTGTGCTTTATTAGAAAAAAAAATTGCCTGGTAGCAAAGCCGTACTGCACGCAAAGGCCTACGAATGGGGTACAGCACTGGCGGCTTTACTGGGTCGAGTATCTACAGTTTGTCCTAATTGCATGTCAAATCATTGTTAAACAAAACATCAAAAGCATGCCAGCGAAATAGATAATTTGTTTTCCCCTCCTTCCTCCAAGAAAACCTTTTATCATCCCCAAGCGTAATAGGAGAACTTGACATTAGTTAAAATCAGAGTGCCCTTGGCAGTGTCACATAGTTAACAAACTGGCAGCCTTCCAAGACAGAGCTCTGCTGTTTATTTTTTTTTGGATTTCTCACCATTAACAATTGAAATGTATTAGCGTTCATCCAACTAGCCCAGTTATCAACCCTTTTACACCACTAACAAGTATTACTTAATTAATTTATTTATTTAGTTGGTATCGGGATTGCGCGAAACTGCTAGCATTCACACGCTTTCATTAAGGCGCCGACTGTACCGTCTTTCTCTACCTAGCCGTATCTTTAAACATAACATGTCTTTGCGTGAATTGCTACTTTTACCCCCGTGGTAGATCCCCCCCCCCATCCCCCCTCCCCTTGATCATGACAGCAAATTGCGGCCCACCTCTCCGCTAACTACTTCATTCAGTATTTCAACTTTAACGTTGGCCATCAACGACTGTAACATACTAGAAAACGGCATTGTTACCATAATTGAAAAATATGAATTTCCTGCCTTTTCAACGTCTTTAACTTCTGCCTTATCCTACTAGTTTCTTCTAATACGTTAAGGAGAAATATGTTCTGTTCAGAACAAATAAAAAATAACAGATGTACCATTTTGCTGTGTAATATCGTGAGGCCTTCGAGGGTAGTAAATAATGAATGATGATTATGATGAACAGTTTTATAGTTTTCGCTAACCAAAAGCTCAAGACAAGCACCAGTGTTGGCGGTAACGCTGTACAACTAATGGCGTTACCTGTAATTGGTTACTTTTTTTCGGTAACGTTGCAACGTACTTGATAGATTTTAAAAACACCAACAGGTAACGCACTTACGTCACTGATTTCGAGTAACGTGTAACGCGGTTTTGTTACTGGTTACATATTTCTTCCCAGGACTTCAATAAATCAAACTTCAATTTTTTCTCATGTTTGAGACGCCAAGGTATATATTTTTGTGTGTTTTTACGTCTTTTTGTGAATAATTAGGCGTAACGTAAAAAAAATAAGGAAATTAAGTTCAGTTTTTGGACGAACACAATGTTTTTAAAAAAATATGGCGCTTATGCACACCTGTATCCTCAAAAGTTTAAAGCGTGTTAATTCGACATTTTAAAAAAGTAACGCAAAAGTAGCGTGCGTTGTTTGTTTTTTTTTCGTTTTTTTTTTTTGTTGTTGGTGACGGCAACGGTATCGCCTTTTTATTTTCAAGTAACGAAGGTCGATAACGCATTACGTTTATTTGGAAGTAGCGAGTAACGTATTCCGTTACTTTTTTTTTGTAACGCGTACGACACTGACAACCACAAAAGTTCTCTTTTGCAAAAACGCGAGGAAGAATCGTGCAACTTCGCCGTCAGACACAACGGGCTTTCCACGCGGCTCACGCTGACGAAGAAGAGGACGCTTGTGGATTTCAGGAACCTCTGGCAATACCAACCTCATCCCACTTGTTTTACAGGTCTTTAGTTTTCCTCCAGATATGAACTAATAGTTTTGCCACTTTAAACAAAAAGTTTCCTTCGGAGCTTTGATGCACTTGCTTATCCATTGAAACACACGTTCTCTTTTGAACTATGTTGAATTAACCTGAGACTGGGGTAGAGAAGAAACATCAAAACGTAGAAGGGACAGAAAATAGACAGGACGACGTCTCAAACTCAGCTCAGTTTGAGACGTCGTCCTGTCTATTTTCTGTCCCTTGTACGTTTTGACGTTTCTTCTCTACGCTAGTCTCGGGTTAATTCAACATGGTTAATATTCACCAGCTCGCCTGCACCCTTACGATTTTTTTCTCTCTTAAACCTGAT